TTATGTGCAGCAGCACTTGAACAAGCATTCCTGGAGCCTTCAGGACAAGCCTTCTTGAAGGCTTACATGCACATCATGTGGTTATTGTGACTGCTGCAAGAAGAAAAAATACAAGCAAGCATTTGCAGGCACTTGACTTACGCTTGCTATAGCTCAGGTTGTACCTTCCAAGAGTTTTCAGACATGCTTTCTTTTTTAGTGTGCTGCCTCAATTAAACTGCAAACCAGACACAAGAGAATTGTCTATTAAGCTGTGAAATTATTGTATTGCATTACAGGAAGCCTCCAAGTTTATAAAAATAGGAATGTCTTTGTGGTATAGGGGTAAAATATTCCTTTTACCCCAGTTACAAGACAGTTCAAAGGATATCATAAACAATTACCACTGAAATGATAATGCTGTGGATATTTTTTCTGTGTTTGCGGAGTCAGCAGAAGGAGATGACCTTTAACAGTGGCGGCTCTACATCCATGAAAAATTAATTATCCAGAGAAAATCTGAATTGCCTCTGAACAACAGCCTTGGAACCAACAAATCAAATCATAGTTTTAAATGGTGGCTCATTTAAAGATAGTTTAAAGATATGAGGAATGACTGAGCATGTCAGCATCCTTTATTCTGGTAAAAACCCACTGAGGGAAAATACAGAGAGTTTATAGAATCATAAGTGACATGGAGGTAGATAGGCATCAGCTGTTCACTATTCTCTCCACTGCAAAACTGGGAAGGTATTAAGTGAATAATATAAATCCTGATCCAAACAAATTTGAGAACATGCTTCTTCATACATTGGTGGCAGTAGTGGATGACATCGAGAGGACACTAAACAAGTTAATGGAAGAAAAATACATAATAGCTTACTAAATACGAAGAAACTACAGCTGATTCAGAATATCCCTCACCTAGAGATAGCATAAAACTGGGAATCCTCAGGGTATACTCATATCTGCTTGATCTGTCCTTACTTTTCTGTTGGCAACTGCTTACAGCCATTGTTCTCACTAGATCTCCCCTTAAAGACAGACTTCAGTCCATTCCTATACCAGCTATCCAGCCAGGGTAAAGGATGATGAAATAAACAAATAAAGAGCCACAAACAGCCAGCATAGCCAGGGCCAGGAGTAGGTTGACAATGAGATCTCCTGGCTTTATGAGGCCTCAGGTGAGGAGGGTGTAAATGAAAATCTGAGGAGAGAAATGCTGCCACAGTCTCAAGGACTTTTCAGTCCTTAAGCCAGAAGATTTGCAGAGTCAAGCACTCAACACACTGCATGTCAGAGCCTCTCACTCACTTCAAGTCAGGAACCTTTTGAGCCACTTTACACAACATGAATCAACATCCTTATCACAGAATCACGGAATTGTAGGGGTTGGAAGGGACCTCAAGAGATCATCGGGTCCAACCCCCAATGCTAGTTCCATCTTCTTCCTGAAAACAACATAGTCTGTATTCATTGTCTGCTTTAGTATTTACCAACAGTTCTTTCAGCTGAAAAATGTAAGCACAGGTTGGGGCCAGACCATGCTGGGGACCATGTTGGAGTACAGGCTTTATGGACAGGCTGCCCAACAGCCATCCGAATTCTGGTTATCTTGGCACATTTATCTCTCCAAAGCTCTCATAAGGCAGGGCTCACAGTTTCTGAGATGAGTGAAGATAGTGGTAGGCACTGGAACAGGCTGCCCAGGGAGGTGGTGGAGTCACCATCCCTGGAGGTCTTTAAAAGACATTTAGAAGTAGAGCTTAGGGATATGGTTTAGTGGGGACTGTTAGTGTTAGGTCAGAGGTTGGACTCGATGATCTTGAGGTCTCTTCCAACCTAGAAATTCTGTGATTCTGTGATTCTGTGATTCATTAGCATGGCCAATGGTGTCTGTGTGCAGAGGAGGAAGAGGTTGTATTTGTACCACAATGCACACTGCTGTTATGCTGCAAAAAAACAGACCAATCCTTCAAAAGGGCCCAGATACTTAAACACTACAGCCACAAGCCAAGCTGCCTCATTTGGTCAGGAAACACTTTTTGGTGTGAATATCACCAGCAAAATCAATGTAGTCGACATACAAGAAGAGTGCAGCAATGTGGTCCCAGGACCTCAGAGTTCACAACACAACATCTGACAAAGGAGCCAGAATAAATGGACTGCAGATAACCTAGGTGAGTCCAAACAATGCCTTCCAAACATCTGATGCTTTTATCACTTACCCTAAATGCAAGTTCTTCCATATCATTACCATGATTAAGTGTGATAAGGAAGAAAAACACAGCACACTGTCTGAGAAAATTTGGACTTCTGTTATTTATTTATTTATTTATTTATAGGGAGAAAGAATGATGAATTTCTCTGAGAGGAATCAGGCTTCATGTTGAAAGTATTAACGACTTATGAGGAGCAAATACTGAAAGCATGTTATGTTTTGGGTTGTTAGTCTTTGGATATGATCTACGCTATACGGATTTGTGACCCACAAAACACAATGGTCTTAAACCAGGACCTATTGTGCTTTCAAAGTCAGGATGATGTAAGATAAGAAACTTTACCACATATATGCTGTGCTAAATTCTCCAAGAGCAGTGCAAACATTCACAAACCTGCTTGCAGAATGGATCATGTCACACAACAGTAACACAAGCAGCTAGGTTTGCCAGACAAGGGAGACAGCATTCCTTGACTGAAGTGCTCTGTGGCCAGATCTATATTGTACAATAGCTTACATACAGCTACCTCCAAGGGAAAGGTTACACATCTTGTCAGGGCCCTGAGTACAACCTCTGTCTTCCCTGCCTCTTTCCAAAGACTGGCTGCCTGGTCTCATGGCCAGTTTTTGATGCAGTCTTCAGTCAGAGAGCCATGAGCAAAGAGTTGTAAGAAGCAGATTTCTACCGTTTGTTCCTGAGGAGCTGCTTTTAATTTCAGACCTCACCCTTGATTTCTGCCTAAGCAACATTTGCAGCTCTATCTGTACCTGACCATTACCAGCTGACTGAACTTCCCAGCTTGGCCCTGAACCTGTCTCCTCAGTATGGATGTTTCTGGTGAGCTGGACTCTTGCTGGACCCTGGTTACCATCTCCAGACTTTGCTGGTCCTGGTACAGCTTGGAGAACCATCCGATGGCTGATCTTGGCACCAGCTTCACAGCTGCTGCAGACAGAGCCAGACTGCAGGGTTGGGCCCAGGTGATGTCAGAGACCATCCCAACAGGTGGCATCCCACAGCCTTGATCACACCACCTGGTTAGCCCCAACAGGCTGTCTGTGAGCCGCCTGGGAGGCAGCTGTGTCAGGGTGCATGCCATGATCATGGTTTCATGTCAAAGGTTGTATAGACATAGGCAAAGTGATTTACAAAGCTAAGTGGAGAGAGAGCTAAGTCTATTCAAATATCAGATACCATAATTCATCCTGATTAGCCTGGGATGATTCAACAGCTGTAACCATTTAGGCTGCAATTCAGAAAGGCAAATACTTTAATCTAATGCTAGCAGGGGACGGCCAAGGAAAGGGAGGAACTGAAAAGAAAATATATCAAAATTTCAAACTTTGTCCTGGAAACAGAATTCCAAAACTTCATTAAAATGCTTATGCTGAAAGTATCAAAATATAACTCAGTTATACTAAAAAAATTACCTCAAATTTGTTGAGAAGGATCCAGAGCACCCAAGATGCAGTGTAAACAGAACTTAGGTCCAAGAAAAGTGATGAAGAAAGCTTTTATTCAACAGTGCTTTATCATGAGATCATATAAAATGTAGTGGGCACATCTATTGTGCCTTTTCATGGCCTTAAAGTTCTCTAAGTACCTGCACATCCACAGTTGGGCCTCAGCTATGAAGCACGTTATCATGTACACTCCACCATGATTCAGAGATAAGGATGTCTGTCTACAGCTGCAGTCCATTACAACCTGCTTAACAAACACACGGGGCACTGAGGTCAGCACGTAACACACAGCACGGCCACCTTCTCCCAAAAAATCTAACCAGTGCTGGCAGCAACCTTTCCTCTAATGGCCCTACCAAGGGACAGAAAGATTGATGTGGTCTGGAGGAATCTGGCTCTGCAAGAGAAGCAGAAGACATGAGCCTGTTTTTAAAAGTGTGTGCCTTACTCCGTGAGATGCCTCAGTCCTTAGTGCCCTGAGACTCAGCTTTCAGCCCTGAGCTGTTGCCCAGGTTGCAGAGAGGAGCTGGAGGTCAGACCCACTGCCCCTCTCCAGCTAACACCAAGCAATGTCCTGCTCAGTGCTTCCCACCCAACCTTTCTGAGGGCCACCATGCCCTGCACTGGGCCCAAGCCCACGTGGCTCTGGCCACAGAGCACCTCAGTCAAGGAATGGTGTCTCCCTTGTCTGGCAAACCTAGCTGCTTGTGTCACTGTTGTGTGACATGGTCCAGCTTTCACTACCGTTTCTTTTAAGTGGGAGGGTAGGCTTTTTTCACCTAGGTGCGTCAGACCTCCAGCCCAGGGAACAACCTCCTGAACAGTGGAGGGGGAAGCAGACTCTGTAGAAGGGAGGAACAGGTGCCAAAACTTGGAAATGGGAACCTCTGCTTTGGGATTTCACATCTCCAGTCTCTCTCCCTGATTGATGTGTTCTGATGTTTGCTTGTACTCCTTGCCATACCTCATGTTGCAGGTAGGATATGGAGTCTAATCTCCACTGACTGACCAGTGCTCAGGAACCCACATCTGCCAGTGTAGCCCCACACACCTCATGTTGGCTGGGCATTGTGCAAGACTACCCCTTTGGTGAGAGGAGGGAAAAGGCACTAAGCACCATGAAACTGAACCTGGGCATGTAGCATGCTGTGAATGTATTATTATTTTCCTCCAGCGTAGGCACACTGTGAAATAACATTCATTCTTCACCATCTAAATGTCAGTGTAGTGCAGCTGAGTCATTGATATATTAGGGTTAACTACACATTGCCTTCAGTGTGTAGTGCCCTTTTCAACTACTAGCACTATTAAAAAAAAAAAAAAAAAAAAAAAAAAAAGTGGTTAGGTAGTGTCTTCCTCCTCCTTCAGCTCTCAAGATTAATTACTTGTCTTCAATAAAGACCAAAGGAAGAGGCTCATGTAGCTCTGGATTACAGCTAGGATGGAGACTTTTCCCAGAACAGCAAAGATGTCAGTAACTGCAACACAGTGTTAAGACACTGTCACTAAGCAAGGGTGCACTGATAAGGTCAGTTTATGAGAAAAAGAGGTTAGGTCCTCTTTCAGCCAATTTGTTCTTATAAATTGTTTACTATTGTTAAAGTAAACAGCAGTTAAGATAAGCTTTCTTCTAAAACACTCTTTCTGTCAAAAGGAAAATGGGTAGGCCTGGGATGCAAATGTTTTTTCAAGGCAATTTGATATATACTGCCTTTCCTGCAAGACAGTTTTTAGTGGTTAAGGAAAAATTGACTGTCACCTTGTACCTAGTCAAGTAACATGTAGGTCACAAATGCCTAAATGTTCACGTTTTGGCAGTAATCGATATGGCCAAATGTAATGGCCATCCTTACACTGTCTGTCATATACAGGGGGAAAAAAAAAGTATGAAAAAAAATAATGGTTCAGAATTCTGACCAGTCTACCAACAAGAGACAAGCTTGTGGGCTCAGAGGACAGCTGAGGTTGGAAGGGACTTCTCACAAACATCTAGTCCACCTACTTGCTCAGAGTGTCAGTTAGAACAGGTTAGACCTGGAGCATCATAGTCATATTTTGAATATATTGAAGGATGGAGACTCCACAGCCTCTCGGGGCAACCTGTTCCAGTGTTTAATCATCCTTATCATAAAAAGATTTTTTTTCCTATGTTTAAATGGATTTTTTTTGTACTTCACTTTACACACATTGCCTGTTGTCCTTTCAGTACTGCCTTTGGGCAGTACTGAGAATTGTCTAGCTCCTGGAATATGCTACCTGGTTCCCATACTCTACCCTCCTAGTCTAAAAGTTTTTTTTCTGATATCATGTCCTTACAAGCCATAATTTGTGACCATTAACCCTTCTTATATTATCTGCCAAAAAGGAGAAGAGCTTGGCTCTGTCATCTTTGTAGCTCTACTTCTACTGCTGTTAAATCATCCTTTAGGCTACTCTTTGCTAGGAATAAACAAGCCCAGCTCCTTCAGGCTTTCCTCAGAGGTGATGTAGTTCAGCCCCTACAGAGGGGCTTCCAACCAGCTTGGTAGTCCCTCTGGTCCCTCTCCAGTTTCTTCTTCTGGAACAAAACTTTCTATCCCATGTGTGGCTTCACAAGCACCAAGTAAAGGGGAACTATAGCAATTATAACTTCCCTTAAACAAGCCATGGTCCTCCTAATGTAGTCCCATATGCAGCTTGCCTTATTCACTCATTTATTTTTCTGCCACATCCTACATTCATGCTCTGAAACATAAATATGTAATCATTGTTTGAAATGAATCCATAGATTTAATGATATTGTTAAAACAACCTATGCTGCTCTTGAAAGATATACCCCAAAGTTCTTGGTTTCATGTTCTGGTGACAAACCATTTGACTACAATAAATTAACATTGCAGCAAAAAAAAAAAAGAAATTGTTCAACCAAACTGAGCATTTCTTAGCAATCTGATACTTGGCACACCTTCAGAGTTTGCAGACTTATTCTTCTGCTGGTGTTTGTGATGGGAGAAAGCAGACTTTTGCTGCAAGAATGCAACCCATCTGAAAATCAAAGATTTCTTAGTCAAGGAGGCCAGACAGTATCACAAATTCCAGAATTAATGTGTGGTATATGCAGAATCTGATTGTATCTGGGAAAATACTTCAAAGTCAGAGCATGACATTCAGAAGTATTGACATGCACCTCCACCCATCCCTTGAAAAACTCTCACTTAAAACGCAAAGCTTCCATCCTGGCCTAGATGAGCGATCTTGGCTGAATTCCCAGTAGACCTTGCAGTCTGCCTAAACCAGGCTTGGGTGGACCCTGAAATGAGATATAGTCTCTCTTATTTCATTATAAAGGCAGTGGCATTGAAAGAAAAAGAAAACGTAGAGAATTGTATTCAAGCCAACTAATAGTAACTTCAAGAAAAGGTTAAGAGTTGGGAAGAAAAAAAAAAAAAAAGTCTCTTTACAATAATGAAGAAGCAGTAGACTGATATTGCTGTTATTATTATTATTATTATTAACACCCAGTGCAAGGCATTTAACAGCTTCCACTCCCAGTAGCTTCAGTGGGAGAGGTTGTACGTTGTCAACTGCTTCCCTCTTCTTTAGCAAAACCTTGAACCATCTGAGACACTTAGCTCATGCTAAATGATCATATGCCAAGTATTGTGATGATGACTGATCTTGCTGCCTGAGTGGAGTTACACAATGAGCAAGAGTGGAAATAAGTAGGTGATTAAAAGCACTTGTGCTCTTAAGAACGCGCTTGTGTGAGTCCCTGACATCTTGAGCTACAGCACTGTCTTAGAAAACACTGCTGCCCAGTGACACCCATCCACTTGACTGCCTCCACAGACATACAACCAGCAACCAGTAGAGCTTGAGCCAAAGGACACAGACAGTGCTCCCAATGAAGGGACATATACCTCTCAGAGGGTTACAGTCAGGGAGCAGCAAGAACAAGACTGACCCACAGAGGGGGACAAGCCAAGAGTGATCCCAATGCAGGCTGTGCCTTCATCAGCAAGGTATTATCCCATGAACATAGCAGGCAGAGTAAGGAGCTACAGTAGGCACTACCAACAGCCCCCAGAACAGAAATTGATGAGCCAGGGCCCACCCTGGGGCCCCAATCAGGAGCAAGAGAAGACAAGGCTGGAAACAAGCTACAACATATAATCAAGGGGTCCATCTAGGATACAAGCTACCTACAGCACAAGTCTAAGGTCCATCTGGGAGGCAGGGATGGAGACAGGCATGCCTACAGTATGGCTCATGACAGGACTGTATGTCCAGTACTGAATGTAAATTGAGCCCCTGAGCTGAAAATGGGGGGTTGGGGCCATTAAGGACTATCAGTGCTCTCAGGGCAGTGCTTTTATGTCACATAGCCCTTATGTTTGTGTGAGGCATTTCTCTGTATTATAGAAAGATGCCACATCACAGAGTAAGAGCAAACAGGAAGCAACTTATGCAGGAAGCACAAGCAATCAACCTGGATCTCCTCATTCACAGGGACTAAGCACATGAGCCCAGAAAGACTGAATCCCATTTACAAGAAATCATTAAATGTTGTACTAGACCAGCTGATATTAGTAAGGCCACACAATCCCTGTTGTCGACAGCTTATTCGCATAATTCATGGCTGCCTCCAATTATCTGTGGGAGATTTGCAAGTCGGACTCTCAGCCTGTAAAGGAGGTTCCACATGGGCAAGCGCTTAATGAACAGATTGGATTATAAACACTGGCTAATCTTTCCCACATGTACACCTGAAGAATATCACAAGTGACAGCTGTTTAAATTTCCAAGGAAATTAATGATTCCTAAAGAGGCAAGGCTTATCAAGGCTTTGACTGGGACTGATAACGGACAACCGCCAAGGGGCAAATTGTTTATAATAGTCTATAAGTGCCTCATTCTATGGGTTCATCTTGGAAACTTTTATTGATGTGGTCCCTTTTATTAACGTTTGTGCTGGCAAAGAGTAAAACAGCTTTGTTCAATCTACTGATGATATTGGGCTACTAAGGCCTCTAATGAGCATCTCGTATCTTCAGGTCGCAGTCAGTTTAAAATGATTGGTACTGAGGCCAGGATGCCCTGTGCTCAGCTGAGCCTTACTAGATGGCTATATTGTGCTTACCCCATCCAGAACTCACATCCTTGCAGGACTGATTTGTGTGACTGCTGAAACATTAACTAGCATATGGTAGGTCATTTAATTCATTCACTATCTAGAGAATTGAGAGTGGGAGGTAGGAAGAGAGTAATCCAGGTTTACCGTAAGATTATAACCAACCTCTTCTAATAGACCACAGATGGAAAGAGCAAGCAACTTTTTCTGCCCTCTTTTGCAGAAAATCTGTACCTTTACAACAGGACACAAAACCTGTGTCAGTTTCTTCCCCAGTATTCCTCCTTCCCCATGGAGCACATGTCAGGAAATACTCCATGAGGACTTTCCACAGTCTAGTTCCATTTTAAAGAGGGTGTCATGAAGAAAGGGCACCTATGCCCTCCAGTAAAATTGGCCAAGTGGAAAGAGCTTTGTGGAACTCAGGGGTCAAGAAAAAATGGGTTGACAGCTACAGCAAGCCATTTAGCACAAGCTACAAGTACTGCAATTCCCTTGCAGGATTGGGTAGCTAAGGGATTTTTTTTTCCTGCTGGGCAATGAGCGTTTCACAAAGGAGCATGGAACTAATTTAAATTCAAGACTACAGACAAATCAAGCAGCCCACAAACATTTTCAGCTTTTTCTTGCATAAGAATAACTCTGTAATCCATCACTGAGATCACTGCTGAAGTATCTGGCCACAGCAAGGGACGTATTCCTTCTACCGTGCTGGTGTAAACCAGAACTGACTCAAATGAAACAAGTGGATGAAGGTCATGGTTACAGTCAGGCTAAAACCAATGGAACTGGAAAGAGTCTGGTATGTGTTTTATCTACATGTAAACCCATTCTAGTATTACTTTCTGACCCATTGCACTCAATTAGACCAATTTTGGATGCATGTTGTATATTCTACAATATTTATTTAATTACACTGATAGAGCTCTGCTTGGTGAAGGTCTGGTCCTCTATCTGCTAGCTTAATTTCTCTGTCATTCATCATCAAAATTATTTGGGGGTTTCATTTAAAGAGTATTGAAGCTTCTGATGACTGGATACACTATTTCTGCTTGAATCATTTCTTGTTCTTTCTCAAGCTAGGATGGTATTTTTCCCAAGCATAAATATGAAAAAGAAGTAAATCAGTGATCTTACAATTGGATTAATAAATAATGTATATTTTAAAAAACAGCTTTCAGGAAGAAATGATCTATGTCCTCCCAGCATTGATGCGTGTGCTCACACAAACACACACACATATTTCCTCAGTTTTATTTTAGGATCTTGCATAATTGAGCTTTTTATTCAGATGCTGAATATCTGCCACAGAGAATGTTTTCTTATAACCATAACAATATGATGCTATATTAGGATAGGAACTCAATTTGTAGGACATTTGGAATCTTTGTTACTTATGATTCAAGCCTGTTTGCTGTCATGAGGCAAAGAAACCAAGAACAGCTAGCCTAAGCAGATGTTGCTAGCAGGTAATAGGACTGCTTTGGTTAAATTAACTGTTTACTATCTTTCTGCTGGATTTCCAACACAATCAGATTTTTAATAATGTGAACAAGGACAGTTGTTCTCTTTGCTTCACTGGTTTGTTTGGATATTTCTGCTACTGCATACACATCCTTCAGTAGCTAATAGAGTGCTATTTAATCAACATTTAACGGCCTCTTCCTTCTTAGCTAACAAAGGGAATGTAAAGAACACGTACAGAATGAATGTACAGCATGATGGCAATTGGTGTAAAGCAGGCGAGGGCAGTGCTGAAGCCATGTAGAACAAATCACAGAAGTCTTTTCCTGATGTCCATCTTTTATTTTATCTCCCTTGTTTCTTTGTTTATCTTCATCTTCTTTCATTGTCTAGTATGAAGACTCTGCCCCATCTCCTGGCCCAGGAAGGCCAGGTCCACAGAAATCTGGAGATAACCAGCTGACCAGTGGGAAATGTATGATGGAGGCCCCTCTGCACAGCAGGCAAGAGAGGCAGAAGTAGGGAAAGGAAGATTACTTTCCATTTCTCTATGGCTCTGCACCTCTGCTTCTGTTATCACTGTATACCAGTCCCATCCTAATGCAACTAATTTTATAATACACCTATACACCACTTCAGGATTTTTTTCTGCTCTGAAAGACCACTGTTCAAATGCTTATGCTGGATTCTCAAGGTCAGCTAGCTCTATCTGATGAAAGACTCTCTATGGCAGGAAAAAAAAAAAGTCTCAACAAAACCCTTTTCTTACAGGACTAAAAATTTGCTCATATGTGTTGAGAGATTTTAGAAGATGATGTGCAACAGTGCCATCTGATGGGCTTATTCAAAAGGGTAAACGAGGTGACTAAACTGGAGACCTGTCAAACTTCTGCCCTCCGTCCTAAGCAAAATGCTATGACTAATACTGGATTTGATTAAAAGAAGGTGCTGTCCAATTGATTGTTATTAACATAGCCTTTTCCCATGAACCTGTGTCAAACTACTTTTTGAAATACAATTTTTTCTTTTTTTTTTTTTTCCTTTTTTTTTTTTTGATAAAGGTAATAGAGTTAGAATAGTTTCTATGGTGGGATATTTAATTTAGCATTGCAGAATGTTTTGATTAAAACACTATGGCAAATAAAACATGATTCTCATGTTAAATGAATTAATTACTGGGTAAAAAGCCCTCAAGAGAAATGTCAAAGCAAGAAGCAGTACAGGAGAGATGAGGGTCCAGAGGTCTCTCGGGAAAAGCTGGTGTGTCACATGGACAGAATATAGAGCTTCCTAGGATGACAGAAAAAGAGAGGAAGTATTATGTAATTGATCAATATCTATATGTTTTCTTTACCTCTTTCACAATGTGAACAGCTGTGGATTTTATCCTTGGAGAATATATTGTTCTTAAATAGTTTTTAGGAATTTTGGGGACCAAAATCAACATAGCTTTTTATTAAAACCTAATTAATTCTTCTGTAAGACTCCAGTGAACTGACTTGTTTAAGGAACGAGACAAAAAAAAGATCATGGAATATTTTAATTGATTTACATCTTCATTATTGTATTACAGTATAGGTAAAACAAACAAATTTCTCCAGGTCTGAGCTCCTGTGAACATATAGACTTGGAGAGCAACATTTATTTCTTGCTGCAATGAAATAGAAAGAGCCATCCCTGGCCACAAAAATCAGTTCAAGGCCCTGCAGTGTAAACAACTTTTATCGATGAGCAAAGAGAAAACCTTGAATACAATCTCTAAATAACAAATATACTGCATATATGTAAATAATGTAAAGAAATGATTTTTGAAACCTCGACAATTTGGTTAGTAGGGTTGAGATCAGAGTTATATTGTTCAGCATGGGAAAATGAAAATCTTAAGGAAAACATAATACATCTTTTGGGGACTCACTTTATCTTCAGTAAGAAGTCTGCTAAAAAAAAAAAAAATCTATGATGGATAACTGGTTGAATATTAACTGGCTTCTGTTGTGTGTCTGTTTTCAACTTCCTTCCTAACTAATAACTTTCACAAACAAAAATCCCTACATTTTTTCCCCACAAATTGATTAGTCTTGGAAACAAAAGCAATGCTAGACCATTGTCAAGCAAAATTAATTTTTTACAGACTGAAAGTAATAAGAACAATTTTACTTTAACTCTTGATTTTCCTTGGAGTTCTAACCCCTGGCTAGGGGCTGCTTGTGAAGGAAAGCTCTGTACAAAAGTCTTTCTTAAAGGGGGATTAAGTTTGTGGGATATGGAAGGCAAGGATACAAAGAAAGATCTATGTAGATTCAGGAAAACGTTGTTTCATTTGTGGTTATTTGGAGTGAGAGAAGGAAAGGGAGAATTACATGTGTTGGGTGTGTGTGTGGAGAGAGGGGGTTGGTGAGAGATAGGCATCTCATACCTAAAGAAAGCATCATTGCTGCTTTTGAAAAACTGAAAATAAATATGCAAACACTATGGATGAAACATCTTATTGTACTTGACATTTCCTGGATCTACTCACAACAGCCTTTGATATTAAAAGAAGAACAAACAGTCCTGTGCCAAAAGCTGTTAATAACCTGTTTCATAGCAAAGCTCACTTCATAGTGGTACCCACAGATAACTTCAGCTTTAAAACAAGCAACCTGTGGGATAACAGAAGAAAAGAGAAGACTATGTCTGTCTGGACATACTGTTCTCCCAGAAAGGGTATTTAGATCCTATAATTGGTTCTTGTTAAATACAGGAGCTATTTTGCAGTAAAGGCATAATTGAAAAACTCAGGTAATCAGGCTTTTCTTTCATGTGTGTATATGTGTGTGATTCAATTATGCAGCTAAAAAGGACCAAATCCAGATGTTCTTTGCTTACACAGCAGAGATCATGTCTAAGAAACACCAAAGCTTGCTGTGAGCAGCACTGCATTGCTGTAACAGGACATGGCTATAACGCTTCGTGATCTGAGGAAAAGATAAGAAGCAAATATGCAGTGCCATATCTGTGCTTTCATCTACTTTTGTTATTGATTCACAAATCCCCTGGGAGTCATTCTACAAAGAATTTTTTATATTTAGATTGGTATTTACCAACTAATCTTCTTCTTCTGCCTCATACCACCTTTGTCAGTAAGTCTCATTCTGGTTATGGGCTCTAAGAATGCGTGATGAAAAGGTGTACAGCCAGAAGCCAGTAACATTGCCAGAGGTGAAGGCACATAAACCTCTGTGAGTGAGTGAGTGTGGGTGTGTACATAGCTGCCATGATCCAGCTGCTTCTGGCCCCCAGATAGAGTTCCTGGAAGTTCATCTGTCTGGTCTAGAGGTACTTCTGTGATAAAGCAGATTTAATGCAGAAGAGCTCAACATGCAATAACATAAGCTGTATGTTTTCTTTCTTCCCTCTCACCAAAAGCTAGTATTCAGTTTCTCTCCTGTCCAAGTCAGATTAGCTTCCCATAACACCATTCACTCACGACAGTCCCACTATTTGATTTCATGACAAATTGAGCTTCAAACTAATACACTTGCTTTTGGAGCTGAATGAAGAGGATGCTGAAAGAGCCCTGGGCAGTTGTATGTGGGAAGGGGCAAAGCTGTGTATTTATATCCTGTCTTTCTGCCTTTGTGTCTGAGAGTATATGAGATCTCATGCTGAACGAGAAAGTTCATCTATGAATTGCAACATAATGTAATGTGCAGCACATGTGGAAAGGAACAATTTCATTTACAGACCATGAACAGGTGTGGCATATGCAGTTGTTTAGTTATTTTTTGTTTTCCAAGAGGAAAACAAATCTTGTGATTTGTTTATTTATTTATTTAATGAAGAATCAATATTTTTAGAAGTTTCTCAGTAGAAATATTATCCTTGTACTTCATTAACACTGAGTGACCACAAAAAGACTATAGAGATAGTTCACTGGTTTAAAGAGAAGCCGTTAGCTTATTATTTCTTTTTAAGTTAGTGCCACTTTTTTAGTTTTTATTAGTTACAAATGTAATGTTTCACTGCATATTTAACATAAATTCTATAGTTTTATGAGAGCATTTAAAATATGAAGAATTCTCATGAAATAAAGGAAGGAATTAAACAAAAATTAACAAGGTTTCAAATGCAGCAGAAACAAGAAACATGGCAAAGAGTCTGTAGAGACAATAGACAATTCAGCTGTAATAGTTTTCCAGAAAGATAAGTCCATGAAAGAAAAGCTAAATCAAGTACTTACTTATTAAGGGATGTTTCCACCACAGCTCCTCTTTACAGAGGGCTGTTTCAAATTGCCATGTCAGAAGAGATTTTTGAATAAAATTTATAAAATGAGAAGTAGCAAACCACAAGGACCAGATGGTATTCACCCACCCATTCTGAAGGAATGCACGTATCAATGTGAAAATGTTATGTGTAATCTGTCACTTGGAATCAATCTCATTCCTAGAGAAACAGAAAACAATGAATGTGACAAAATTTTTAAGCAGTCAGGAAAGATTTGGGGAACTATAGATCAAAAAATCTCACTTCCATACAGGGGAAACTATGAAGGCTGTAATAAAATCTAGAATTAGTAGCAACATGGAAAAATTTTATATAAAATGAAAGAGTCAAAATTGCTTCTCTAGACGGAAGTCACAACTGTCATATTAAATATTTCTTCAAATTAATTAGTGAGAATATTGCTATGATATTCTAGTTGACTACACCCAAAAAGCTTTCAACCACTTCCTTAACTAAGCCTCTTCAAGAAGCTGTCATGGAATAGTAAGGTGGACAGGCTTCACATGGATTAAAAAGATAAGAAACAAGGCAGAAATAACCGGTCATTTTGCACCAGGGTGACTTTACCAATGGAGCTCCACAGGAATCTGTACAACCTGAGCTTTCTGAGAATACAGAATTACTCAGAGCTATGAAACTAATCCTGTCTGCAGAGACTTTGAGAATGAAATTCTGATGGTTTGAACAGTGAAGCAGCAATCGACATTAATAAACAGAAAGCAAAAGAGATGGGGAAATCAATGACAGTTACCCATACATTTATGCCTCTAAATTTAATATTAATACTGACATTCAGGAAATAGTTCCACATCATTAAGCCACTGTATGAATCCATGTTGAGGGCTGCATGTAAGTCTAACCCTTGTGTATCAAAGTGTATAGGAACCTTAACAAATACACAGAGAAAGAAGTCATTAGCATAGCAAAACTGTTAAGAAAGGACAGCTAACTTCTGACACTGCAACACCACTGAAAAACATGTTATTTGAAAAAAAAAAAATATCTGATTACCAAAGGAAAAAAAATTCTTAAAAGAAAAAAGCTTTTAAAATCTTAGAAATATCATAGACTTGTAGATTCATTTAGGTTGAAAAAGACCTTCAAGATCACAGAATCACAGAATTTCTAGGTTGGAAGAGACCTCAAGATCATCAAGTCCAACCTCTGACCTAACACTAACAGTCCCCACTAAACCATATCACTAAGCTCTACATCTAAACGTCTTTTAAAGACGTCCAGGGATGGAAGATCATCAAGTCTACTGTATTACAATCCCAGATTTACCTATCCATTTATTTTCCCTCCAGGTGAGACTGGCATTTACTAAGATGTTGATCATTCTTCAATGATGAAAACATCTCTATATTATGTCATGTCCAAAAATATATTTTTTTTCTAGAGACATCAGTATGGACCTTTTATTTTTAGCCTGCATTGGCTTCTGTTTTGTTGGTTGGATTTGTATTTTTTTGTTTGGTTGGTTGGTTGTTGTTTTTATTGGCATGTGGAGCTGGGGAGATGGAGGAAGACAAAGACTTATGCCAAAGTTAGGGCTTAGGGCTTTGTTTTGAACATACATGCAACACTTAGAAATCAAATGCCAGTTATATCTTTTCTCGTGATTGCATTTAAAGTGGAGTCATCCAAATAAAAAAGATGTCCCCAGGATCTCTTAAGCAATAAACAGGGAATGAGTTTCCTGAGCATAGCAAAAAGGTTAATGTTAAATGGAGATTGAAGACAGTTACTGAAAACCTATTCTGGAAGCAAAAGACAACATTTCTCCAAACAGAGAGGAAATAAAAGCCTAAAGTAAGGCTCTGAAGTTTAGAAGAGTTAAATTCCAGTGAGAATGGGTGGTTTAACCAGAACTTTTATCCTGCTCCACTCTTAGCACTTTTTTCCAATATTTCCCTTCCCTTCCTTCAAGATTATCTTCTGCAAAATCTGGTTCTTGCAGCCACAAGGAACTGCCTGTGAGGATTTTGAAGGAGATGCTAAGCAAGGGAAAAAGGAAGGGAATGGGTGGATCCTGGTGAGCACAAAGGAATTGATCCCATGTGTGGAAGAAATGCTTTTCTGCAGTGTAGGCAGTATCTGGGCAAGCCCAAAATTCCTAGGCCTGTTTCTCCAGCATTGAAAGATAGTGACACTCATGGCCACATTTTCTGAGATACTAAGATCCTGTGATCAATTTTTGTGAAACTCAAAAATGTTTCTAATGTCCAAGGTAATGGAATTACAGCACCTGCATTAAAAAAAAAAATAAAAATTAAATTTTCAGCAACAGCAGGTATATTCATTCTTTCTTTCTTTTGGCCTTTCTTTAGATTTATGTGTATGGATAAGGATCTATCTGTATTGCATAGGGGATTTTTTTTAATGTCATTTTAACAAATATTTATAAATAATACCGTAACAGGCAATTTCAGAACCTCAACCTGTCCTCCCCTTCCAGCATTTCCTCTGGCCTCTTTTACAAGTGGATATTTTAGTCTGTCCCAAGGCTAGTGACTATGACAATCACTTGAAAAACTCATATACACATAGACACACAAGCACTGATAACACCACAGGTCATGTTTCAACAAGAAAATACTTTTTTCCTCACTTTCAGTAGAGCAGAAAACTCCTCTTTATATGTATCCCATTCCTCCCAACACCTACAGCTGCTATACACACAAGAGGCACATGTCCCAATAATATTTCCAAATCTCTCTTTCACTTAACAGAAGGAGTGTTTTCTTAGCAAAAAGCGAAGCAAGTAGCCTCTCTTCTTGATTAAAACTCTCTGACTTTTGGAATCTCCTACTAAATTATATTTGTGATACAGGAAGGGTGTAGAAGGGAGGAAAAGAATTGAAAAACTCCAGCCTTGTGTCAATTATCAAGTGTTTTAAATATAGAGATTTTCCCATCAACTAGAAACTAAATCCACTTGTTTGTTGCCAGGGAAAATGGGTGAAGATGCCATTTCTAAAGTGTGTAAAGACTTCGTGGTTCATTTCACAATAATATTTGTTGAACTTTTGTGGCATGCTTTCAGAGGAAACAAGATGGGGCTGCGTTAGTCATGATTTGCTAAATAGTACATCCTAATCCTTCCTAGTTTTTGTTTATTCATGCCTTGCTGTGGGATTTACAGTATTAGCTCATGGAAAGAAAAAGAAAATCCCAGCACATAGAGGAATGCAGCCTTCCACTCCTCTGCTTAGAGGCAGGTTTGGATATTTGTTTAAGGATGATTTTCTTCACTTCTGACAGAAACACAAATGCACAGAGAATGGGCAAAGGGGATAGAAATAGGTAGTCTGTTTCTCAGGCACCACTTTGCTACACCTGTGAGACTACGTTCCACATATGAGATGTCCTGGAAATCTTGAGCTGTCCGGCAAGGAAATGTAGGGTGAGCTGCACCTTTCTCCTGAGAGCACACCATCACATCGTGCCTCTGCCCGCTGCCTCTCATGGTCAAGGCTCTTATCAAGTAGACACTATCTGACTTCAGATACCCCAGGGCACCCTCTTCAGTCCCAGCACCCTGGCCTCTGTTTTGTCCTCTCTGGGCTCCTTCCTGAGCAATGACACACTGAGAATTTGGCCACAGAGGACAGAGGAACAGCGGTAAGGAGGATGCAAGTTATGGTAGAAATGTTCCCACCAGCTCTCCCCTGCCTCATTAGGTATTTTCAAAGCTTGCTCTCACTATCCATCTCTCCAGACTGAAGTCGCTGATAAAGGAGCTCTTCTTACTTTTTCTCACCTGCTCTGAAACAGGATCTGTTTGGTGTGATAGGCCCTTTTGTCAGAGGGGAGAATGTCACTTTTTTGTGTTGTTCTGTTTCCTCTTGACTCTTGTTGGCCATAACCTTGGCAGAACCAAGGACGGTGCTGCGGGTCATGGAGTGCCATCCCACTGGCAGGGAGCAGGCACGGTGGGGTGGTAAGCAAGGCAGCAAACGTGATGAAATCCTTCCTGTGCTTTTCTGGTCCAGGTGATCCTCTCGGTGATAGATCTGGTCTGAAACTCTGCCATGGCTGAGGAGGGCAGGTGCAAAGGGAAACCAAAGCCTGTGGTGCATAACGCAGTCCTTATGAGCTGAAAAGGAGCATTCGATATGCCATGGATGGAGATGCTGACAGCAATGACCTGTGTTTTGCAGGAGAATGTTTCAAAGAGTAAACGCACTTCCTTTGAAAATCCCAGCACAGAGCCAGCATGGGCCTGGAGAGCAATAGGTCTGCTCAGTGATGACTACCATCAGAGAACTAAGGAAGAAATAGTTTAATTTTATTATACCTTAGTATGTTCCTCAGCTGCCTAGCATATGGAGCAAGGACCATGGCATTCAGGAAGACTGGATTTCTGTTCCTTGGCCTGTTGAGATCTCTAAGGATGAACTTATACAAGTCTACTCTGCTCTGGGCACCTCAACTTTTTTCATCTCAAGTCTTTGCAGCTCTTGAGAAGCTGAATATCAAATATTATCTAAAATTTTTTGAAACTATTTTTAGACTTCATCAGTCTATCAGTCCTCACATCAGTTTCTGTAAACCTCTCCTTTCCAGTAAAAATATATTTTCCTACACAAATTACTGTGAAAATAATGCTGTGAAACTCCATAAACAGGATGAATGTGTGTTGTGTGACTGATTTGTAACACATAAAAGACTGGGCTATGAAGTGATTGGGATAACAGGAACAAAAGTATACATAATTCATTAGTTTAAATCTGACTGTACCTTGCAAATTTTATTATGATTTGTTAATGAGTCATATATTCTTCTTTGTAACACAGGATTTTAACATGCTTTTTCAATTGCAGTAAAAATTCCTTTTGGCTAGACTGCTCCAGTACTTTGTGTTTCTTGTTCACCCATATTTAACAGTAGTCATTGATAAGGTTATCTCACTTCATTATTTTTCTTCATTTATTCTTATAAAGTTGAGGGTATATTTGTAGGACCCAAACTGTGAGCATAGTTGCACAATCTCTCTCTAGCTGGCGTGATTTGAAGCAGCTATACTGCCCCAAATCATGCTTAGCATTCAGATTAACATTCACACAAAGAGTGGCCATTTCATACTTGAATAATTTTACCCCTCTTGCTTGCTTGCAGGTTGACAATCACTCACACCTCCCACACATGGTAGAAAGAGCTCACATCTAGCTCTGGGTTGGCCATGGCACACACATCCCACTAACAAGCCAGTAGCTTGGCTATATCAGCTTGGATATATACACAGCTACAGCAGTATCTCTCATGAGAGGAGCTGTGTCAGCTCACTGTTGCAGATCTGCACCCCTGCTATAGTTAAGTATGTATTCCTAATGCAGTACTTGCCTTTTACTTTTTCAGTTTCACAAAATAATCTATGTCTCTGTCAATGATTCCTTTGTCTAGGCCTTTCTCTCTTTCTTTCTCTCTCTTTCTTTCTTTCTTTCTTTCTTTCTTTCTTTCTTTCTTTCTTTCTTTCTTTCTTTCTTTCTTTCTTTCTTTCTTTCTTTCTTTCTTTCTTTCTTTCTTATTATCTCAATAAAGCACAAGATTTTCAAATTAAACAAGATCCATGATGAAAGACATAACACGACTTTGTACTTTGGCATGAGGAGAAAGTTGAAATTATGCTTTTATTAAAGCTAGATCTCATTTCTGGTTGCTTAAACCACTCTTACAATTTTTGCAACATTACAAAAAAAAAATAGAAAATGAAATTTGGCACTGTCTTCATTTAATGAAGTTTTTGTTCTGCATACTAGTCTGAACATCACTTTTAATTCAGAAGATCAGAAATAAGCAATAGAAATCATTTGTTTTCAGCTTGTCTTTGAAGTGTTGCTGCTTTTGTGTCACTGGAACAGAGTTTTCTTTTACCCACATCATAATTTTACAACATAAAGGTCTAGATTCAGAGTAAACACTAACTGCACAACAATCCAGATTAAATCATGAAGTGAATGTAACAAAAAAATCTCCTCTCAGCACTGCAACTTCATTTTATACTCTGCAAAACATCATCTTGCACAAATTATATGCCAGTTTATGCTCTCTTCAGCTTCATTGCTTCCATGACAAAACCCAGGGCAACCTCCAAAACCATGATCTCGTCTAATAAGACCATGATGCTGAAGTCCATCATAATTTCTACTGTGAAGCCACTGATGGCCTGACAGGCAAAACAGACTGCTCAGTTCTAGTTCAATGCCATTTATTTCAACAGTTTATTTCCAATTTTCTCTTGTGTACAAAACAAATTAGATGCACTTATATAATAATATTATGTTTCTGGCTGAAAGCAGCATTTCTGGTGGTTTTAGGGTTACCATTGTCATGCTTGATTCAGGGTGGTAGAGAAATATGCATAAAAACATTTGGGTAAGCATTCTTGAGTCTTTTCTTACAACAAAACAAAACCTGAAGTGTTTTTGGGTAGCAGAAACTTGCACAGACCCACATTCAGTTTTGGAAATGTCTGTATTACATGTTGGCTTGGCCTGTGGAGCTTAGGAAACTGCATTAACTTTCTGTTCCCCTCTTCAAAATTCAGATGCTTTTAGCCATGTCTTTTCTTTTCAAAACTATCTCCCATTAGTACTTTGCCCTTTTCCTACTGACCTGTGATCTCATGAGGGTAAAGAATGGATTTAGTTGGATAAGAACTACCTTGTACTTCTGTAGATAGTATGCAATTTTTATTTATGTTTTACCTTCTCCATTATACAAAGTGTGCATAAAAATACCATAGCAAAGTAAAATAGCATCCAAAATCATATCTCACTCTTCACTCGGACATCATGGGGCAGCCACTGCTCCCTTCAGTTCAGCTGGTCTGCTCTACAAAATATCCCACCCCACTGGGAATGAATGTCCATGGACATTTTCAAATCAAGCCCTGACTTCAGAAATATGAATATGGGAGAAATGAGGTCAGAATATCAGATTCATGTCTACGGTTGAGACAATATGATGTTGCACAAAGTTTTCATTCTGTAGAGAAGGCAAGCAGTTGCCAAGCTGCAAAGAGGGACAGAACACAGCAACAAAATATGTCTTTATTGTCTTCAAGTTTCTTGAAGTGTCCCTACCACCCAGTTATTTCTGATAACATCTGTCTTTGCTCAGGGGGTGCATGTTATTGCACAGCCCCATCACCTATGCTGAGTAACTGGAAAAAAAAAAAAAAAAAAAAAAAAAAAAAAAAAAAAAAAAAAAACAGCTCAGCAACACCCTGTTTACAGAAGAAAAGCTTTAATTTCAGCACTTTCAACTTGGAGTGCTATTTGGAAATATTTAGCTCATAAAAAGTCTTACAGTTCATGCTTTGACCTCATCATGACCTGAACATTTTGTTAACAAAGTACCCTGTTAATGTTTTGACCAAAAGAACTAATGTACTTGGGGCTGGTTATGTTGCCAAAGTGGTGCTTCCTCCTAAAAAGGGAAAGTTTTAATTCTATTTTCAAAACCAATGTCTTACTCTTAACTATATATGGAAATGTCATCAATTAGTCCTGGAAACTGTGTGCACTGAAATGCATTATAATAGCTTGTGTTTCTGCATTCAGTGTAACAAATCTCACCATACCATAGCTTGTAGTGGAAGTCTTTTGCTGTGTCTATTTTTTCTCTGCTATCTTGAATAGATGTGAATATCTCTCTGTATATAGAGAGATATTTTTAATCACCAGCAGTACGAGAGTCCTTCTCTTTACTGGTCAATATTTTTAATCACCAGCAGTACGAGAGTCCTTCTCTTTACTGGTCAAACCATAATGTGTAAAGTAACAAGCTAATCAGGAAAGGAGATAATAAAACACATAGCCACTGCCAGCTACATTTACAACAGAGTTCTTTGAATAAGGTTTCTTTGCTTGTGTGTTCCTTTAAATAATTTGTACCTGCCTGAACCCTACAGCAGGCTACACCCTAGTTACCCTGCTATGCTGCCATCACATTGTCTTTCATGTGATGATTTTCTATATTTGCTCTTTTGTGGAACTAGCCTAGGCATCTCATATTAAAGAAGAAAAATGGAAAATAAGCACACACAAATCACATGCTTCTTCACCTCCAAGTACCTGGATACCATTAACTCTTACTCAACTTGTAAAAGCAACACCATTGGAACAAATATCTCTGTGAATATTTTTATATTACAATGTTTCATAAAATATATACAAACCTTTGAGTTAGAAAGAAAGAGAATTGTATTCTTACAATATTTAAGTACTCAAAGTCTGCAAGGTATCTGCCTAATATGTATTACAGTTCGCAGGTATTCTCGTAAGATACAGAGTGTTTGTAAGCTGTAGAACTCACAGGAAACAAAGAATTTTTAAGTTAATCTGGAAACTACTTCTGGCTGGTGGCTCTTCTTTAATGTAATAAAGCAATAATTTAGTTAAAACTGGATTCTAAACATTTTTATCATTGCTTTATTAATACTTACCAAAGGACTTCAGCAACTAAAGCAACTGATTTCCTTACTTAAAGGAGAACACTATTTGATCATTTGCTCTACCATGAATGAAGAAAAATAGGTGTTTCTGAATAAGACAATGAGTTTAGACTATGTAGTCTTCATCTTTATAAGTCAAATTCCATGAAATTCCTGCGTGATAAATTAAGTATCAAAACCAGGAATAAACACATAGAAAAACTATGGTAATAAAGAGAGTTACTAAGAAAGGTCATATTTGACAGAGGTGAACCCTGTTAAAAACAGTGCATTGGGAAGTAGTGTGTGTGCAGTTATCATTTACTAGCTACCCAGCTGCATACCATCTGTGTATTTTGAGTTTTTGGTAAGTCTCGGTAAAGATCATGAAGTAATATATACTGCGTATACTTTAAAACATCCTTATTGGTTCCCTTTTCTGTTTGTTTGTTTGTTTGTTTGTTTGTTGTATGGGGCACTTCAAACATTTGGTATTCATTTTTTTCATTGTCAATCATATAACTTACTACTGTCTCCATATGGGAATAACATGCATTTCTAGGTTCTTTCAGACGTGTTTTAGAGACGCAAAAAAAGGAGAAGAGGAGAGGAGAGGAGAGGAGAGGAGAGGAGAGGAGAGAGAGGAGAGGAGAGAGGAGAAGGGAGAGGAGAGGAGAGGAGGGAGAGGAGAGGATAGCAGGAGAGCGGGATTTATGAGAACGAGAGTAGGGAGCTGAGTCCGTCTGCTCCTCTCGCTCTAGAGGCTTCTCATCTCAGAGCTCCTCTCTTTCTTCGCTTCTTCATTCTTCGCTTCTCGTCGCGTCGTCGTCTCTTTCCTTCTCTTCTAGCTCTCCCCTCCCGCCCTCCCCTCCCTACTCCCCTCCCCTCCCCCCCCCCCTCCCCTCCCCTCACATCCACTCCCACTCACGCCTCACTCACCCTCCCCTCCCCACTCCCCGCTCCCCTCCCCACCCATCCCCTCCTCCCTCGCCTGTAAGAAAAGAAAGAAAGAAAAGAAAAGAAAAGAAAAGAAAAGAAAAGAAAGCAGTGAAAGCTGATTGGATTAATATGCAAAAGTGGGTTCAGCAACACCCTGGTAGAAAAGTTCTCATGGATGAAAATACTGGCTAAGCGGACAAGATACAGAAGAAAAAAAAAAAAAGAAAAAAAAAAGAAAAAAAAAGTGTGAGGTTCTGTGACTTCCTAAACTATTGCCAGCTAAATGTAGGACAGCAGAGACCTTCTCAAAATTAGCAGTCAACATGATGTAAGTGTGTAGGATAACATCTATTTTATTGGTGAGGAAAAGCAGACTATTGTAACTTATTAGCTACAGGATATTGTTACTGACACGTCATCATGTTCTAATTAATATGGAGGCTGAGCCTTATTTGTGTCAAAGCTG